CGCATGCCCAAGAGGTTTAGAGAAGAATTTCCCACAACACTTGTCATCATGGATTGCACAGAGCTTAAATGTGAAAGGCCGACTTCTCTCAAAACTCAGTCACAGTGTTACTCCGAGTACAAATCTAGCCCTACCCTGAAAGCTTTGGTTGTCACAGATCCCTCTGGCTCTTTCATGGTTTCAATTGATGAGGAGGTGAGAAAAATTGGACTGGAATTGAACATGCCTCCACTAGCTTCCATGTCTTCACAAATGAAACCAACCGATGTCATGCTTACCAGAAAAAAAATTGCCAGTCACCGGGTACATATTGAGAGAGCAATCCAAAGAATCAAGAGTTTCAAGTTAGTTGCCAGGACAATTCCAGTAAGTATATTTGGGAATATTAATGAGATATGGTTGGTGTGCTGCTATGTGACAACCTTTCAGGATGTTTTAGTGAAGGTAGAGTAATTTACACGTGTCCAAGGTTGGCATCAATTTATTCAACTATCTCCATTAAATATAACTGCTTAATCTCTTGTTAAAGGGAATATGCAACATTTGCTTTAGCTGTATATTACTATTCGGAAAAGGATTGATTTGGGGGCTAGTATTTCATATTAATAATTTACAGCGAAGTCTGGTTCTCTGACCCAACTTCAGTTGAAAAAGAGCAATTTTGTTTGCAAATGTTGTATGTTGCCTATTTAGCTGTTTCCAATTTCAATTGGGAACAGCTATTGTTTTCGTTAAGAATCCCCCTTCTTTTCTTCTTCCATTTTTTCCCCATAGGTTTAACACACGTTCTTTGTACAATCCACTTTGGCAACATTTTTTTATCTGATCAATTTTATAATTACACTATTAACCATTATCTGAAGTTGTGTGACATCCAATTAAATGTCCGTTTTTTTACAGTCCTATAACTATAAAACTGTTAGACTAATTGGTCTCAAACTTTGTAGTTGTAGAGACAGGGAAGTGTCATAGATGAAAAATGGATATGACGTCATCATGATATCATATGTTATGTAATAGTGACTTGAAATATATAGGCCTAGACCTATATCTTGAGATCTGTCTAGTTGTTTGGCCTGAAATGCTGCATATGTAGTTATACATTCTAAAGTTATATTTATTTGTAAGGTACAGTGACGATAAATGTCATAATTCTCTTGTTGTGACGTTATGAATATTTAATGAGGCAATTTTGTTGCCACCATATCTCAACAGTACAGTAAGCTATGATTCCATTTTTTTGCACGTTGCATTATACTGGTCTGAAAGTGTGTCAGCTGCAATTTCAAGGTCATGTGACCCTTACGTTGTTTTTCAAAAGAATACCTGATAATTCAGACTTGATCTCCTCTGAACTTGTCCTAGGGGCGTATCAGACAGTTCAGCATCCTCGTGAAGGAGGTAGTTTAGTGGTGTGTTTGCTAGGCCTTTAGTTGCTTGATTTCACCACAAGTAGGCAGCAACACACTGGAAAAAGTGGGGGGAAAGAGATAATAACAATGTTCGATCAATTCAAGTCATCGCAAAATTAACATGAAGAAAACAAAAACAGTTTTAAGATATATTATGTGCAATGCTCCAGCAAGTTTGGATCCAGGGCTGTAGAAAAGGGAAAAAATTAAACCAGCTAAATTATGATACATTTTACATTTGTATTGAATTTTCAATCTGAAAATGCTGTTGGACGAATAGATTGCCAAAAGAAAATGTCTGGGCTGTTGGAATTGCTTAGTTGGATAAACTGTTTGTAGTGTCCTTGACACTGTTTTTAAACTGAACCAGCATTATTTTAATTAAACAAGTTGGAACCAGCATTAGTTTAATTAAACGAGTTGGATACTTGATTTTTTAATTTTGATTTAGACACCTTTTTTTCAAATATTGCCTTTTAAGTAGGTTCACACAAGCGTTCATTAGTACACTCCCTTTGCTTAGTCACTTTTGCTGCAACAGGCTGCCTCTTTCTTGTTTTCTTTGGCTTTGCCATGACCAAGCCTGCCACAGATTGGGGTCGAATTTTACACCCACGGGGTTTGTGCCATTGCTGTGGCAGGCTTGTACATGACAATTGCCCCAGAATTTCCTTCAGCCCCAGGTCCTGGTAGTGCCTCAGGGTGTAAATCAGTGCTATGATGTGGGCACAAGTACCTGACAACCTGTCAAATAATAGAATTCATAGAAAAAAGATGTACCGGTATATTAGAAATGCAAATTATTGTCTTTCATAGTAAAATAGAAATTTGAAATGTCAATCTTTAAATATTCTGAACTTTTCCCTATAAATTAAAGAGAAGTGCTTTTTAACATTATTGCAGTCAGTGTGAATTAAGTTTGTTTTAAGAATGTAAAAACAGTTTAACTGTCTTTTACATCTGAGGAAAACTGAAATCAAACCACAATTTGTAGCCAAGTAGTGAAACACGGTTGAAAACTTTGCTGTAAATTTACGGAATTTCGTTTCTTTTGGCACTTTACAATGGCAGTTTACAATGTAACTGTATGAGAACAAACCCTCTATTTTGGAAGCAATATTTATTTATATTAAAGTAATTATCAAAAGCGAGAAGGTACAGATTTGTATTTATTGTCATAAATTTTAAAGAAAAAAATTGCTCCTTTTTGCAGTTTATGTCGTCTCAATAAATGTATGAGACAACTCTATTTTTTTTGTTGCAATATGATATTACATGCAAAAATTTAATTCCCAATCCAAAACGAGAAGGGACAGCTTAGTATTTATGTTGATTAATATAGATTATATTGATTGTACAAACTTATTATTATTATTAATCCAAACTAAGATATGAAAAGGAAATATAAATAATATATATCAGAACAGTTAAATTTGGCTCCTGTGTCTGTTTTGTACAGTGGATCTGAGTTTCTCCATGACAATTACTAAGCACTTTTTAAATTAAATCCTTCACTCTGTTCGAAGTCCATAAACAATAGTGTTGTACATAGTGGTCTCGAGACTGGTCTTTCTCAGATTTTGCTGGTCTCAGTCTCAGACATTTTAGGCCTCAATATTTTGCTGGCCTCGAGATGAATACTACCAATAGACAGCATTTGCAGTAGAATCACTATTGCTTTTAGACAACTAAAAGCCTGTGCAGTGTGTACAATATTTTGAAACTCTTTTAACTCTAAAGTGTGATATCAACTTGTAGTAAAAATTCCCACGAACCTTAAACAATCTGAAAGTGGCAACAAAAATCCTGCCTATCTTTGTGTTACATTGCTACTCACACGAAAAAATATATTTATGAGACATAGAATGATAGAAGACCCTTCTGATTATTTTTGGCTTGTAATAGGCCTATGCCATATGAAAAGATCATTTTTAAGACTTGAACAATTAGGCATATTGGCATAAATAAGAGCCTACACTGAAACAAAAGAAATAGACCAACGTTACACATAAGTAAAAAAAAAGAACACTGATGAACATGATCCACTTAACATATTTTATTACGTACCCAGCTTCACAGCTGCATCTACTTTCTGCTATGAGACCCTGATCTCGTCCAAAGCACACGTTCAAGGAATGCGGTGTATCGCTTTTCCGCATGCTTCTGAAGCATTTCCCTTGAACTGCCACCTCACCCTCCTTCAATAGCTCCAGCGCAATTTTATGGACATATCCATTCTGAAAGAAATTGTAGCCCCTCACTCTACTCCGTTTACTAAATTGTTCCTTTCCAAAAGAATTTAAATCTACCGCCTTTGGCAAAATATCCACTCTCGTCGTCGTCATTGTTGATGTGTGTACGGACGTACATGTGTATCGTGTGTATGTTTACTTAACTTTGACCTGAACTTGACCGAGCTAATGGCGTTGCCATGCCGTTGCTAAGGTGGGCGGGGCTTATAGCCAAAGCCGGAACGGTCCATTGCGTACGTGTATATCTGCATATGCCTGTGTGTGTTCACCTTCATACACTGCACTGATAGAATGACAACCGGTCTGTGGGCTGAAGAAGCAATATGGAAATTGTTGCGTGTCTGATCTTAGTGATTCTACATGCTCAGCCCATGTTCGGTAAGTGTGGTTACTTTTTCCAATTTTTTTATGTTACTTTTTTAAAGGTGTTTTAACGGGTTTGTTTGGGAGGTCTTGTTGTCTTTGTCTTTTTTAATAAACCATCGTTTATCTTTCGGAAAATCTATATTTCCATACCTTAACAATCAAAAAGAAAGCTTTAAAATTGAAACAATGCATTTCATATACCCACGTCAACTATTATCGTTGCCCCAACATCACTTGCAGCCAATGCTGAAACCTGCTTGATACGGGTTTTCATGGTAAATGTATTTGCACTTCTCCGAGAAACAAATTGTGTTCGCCTCGACATCATGTTTTTGTCTGCATGGTGCATGCATGCACGGAAACCTTAACATGTACACAAATTTAATATTCAAGAATAATAACATTGTTGTAACATTACTGCAGACAAAATCAAACTAACGCTTAAAGTCACTGAGTTGAGAAGAGAAAGTTGTATTCTTTGTTCACGAAGAAAATCTTCCATTCCGACGAAGACAATTGAAATGCAGTTAATTTGCCCCTGTAATCTGTCATCGTCGAAAGAACTTGTTTCTATAAAAAGAGAGATCATATTGGCCGTATGATCCCTTGTCGCGTAATATTACAGTTCTTATCTTGGCCGGCTTGTTAACCAGGCTGTTAAAATAAAAATAAAAAATAATGTAATATAGACAATTATTTTGTATGCTAAATGTGTTGAATGTGCATCCAGACGCCTCTGAAGCCTACAGTGACGACGCCATATCAGAACTGAGTTTGAGGTTTTTATAGATAAATATGTTTTCAATATTAAACATTCTTTGCTCTAATTTAATTAATAACTGAAATTTTCTCTCTTTTTTGTCTTCTCGAAGCACAAGAGGTCATTTTGACGCAGCATCCCTCACCAGTTAGCGTTGGTCAACAAGTAACGTTTACATGCAATGCATTTTGTTACGATAGTTATTCCTACATGACGTTCAGTTTTGATCCTCCAGGGGAGTACCGAAAAAGCAAAGCAACATTCATTCCTAACCCGAGTGATGCTGACTGCAAAGAATTGATAAGGGATGTTTATGTTAATGCCACGAGAGAGCATGCTGGCCTTGTGATCACATGCAAAGTGATTAAACCTTCGAATGGAGCCTATGATAAAAATGAGAGTACCACCTTGGTCGTGCAAGGTAATCATTCATGTACAACTGTGTTATCTTTGTGTTACATTACCCTGCCTGCAAATATCAATATGTTGTGCCCTGTTATCAACGTTGCTATACGTGTGAAAAGGCAAGACAATCCTAGTTTAGCAGGTGGGCCACAGAGCACACCAATGTTATTTGATTCACTGGAAGTCTTTCATGCATCTGGTCTGTCCGAAAGGGCGAATTAGCACTGTCTGGGTATCTTCAGCAGTCTCCATTTGAGACAGTGAGTGAGTCAGGGAGCCAGCAAGACCGTGAATGCGGTACAAAGACGACACTGGCTATGTGAAACCTGCAAAAAAATATTGATGGCACCTTTAATAACGAGAAAATACCTATAGCCTCATGGCAATGCACAGACAGGCAAGTAGGTTTTGCGGTTTTTATGGACAGTCAAATGTAGGTATGGTGAAAACAAGAAAAAAAAATAATCCAACTTTCATATATCAAAACAAGATCAAAAATAAAGAAAGACACCAGGATAGTCTTTCCTTGTACGCCATGCCTAACATTTAATTACAACATTTCAATACAATTTAATTGTTTAGAATTAGGTCCACCGACGAAGAGTGAGCTTTGTGTGTGGGATTCACTAGAACACTCCTGTCTAGTCTGCAAACATTGCACAAAAAATGTCAGCGTTGGGGACAACTTAAATCTAGAGTGCAGCGCAGTGCGTTCCAATCCCGTCAGTCACATATTGTGGGATGTCAAAGGTCGAGGGGGTGAAAAAGGGTCTCCGTTACTCCGCCAGACGAATTACTCCGAGACTCACTCTAAAGATTCTTGGTTCTGGGATGTCATCAGCAAAGCCAGTGTTGAGATTCGGGAAGGAGAGACCAACTTTGGCGTGACGTGTCGAATTTTCTATCCGGACAACGCCACGTCGTTCACCGATGAGCATATCCGGGTATTCGTCATACAAGGCAAAAACGAAGGTAAGTTATTATACAATGTACAGGGTGAGACCAAAAGAAAGCAACCGAATCAAACCAAAAAAAAGGTGCCTTACTCAATTTCATACCAACGAACTACTGGCATAAAGTGCATGTAGTAACTGCGAAAATTCCACTTAATTTGCATACCCCATTCCAAAGTTACGTCTTTCTAATATGAAGATCACAAAATTCAGCTGTCCACCACTGATCATTTACCGTTCTACGAACTGATGAATACCCATTACACACAATGAAACGTGGACATTTTCCCACCTCGATAATTGGAGGAGACATACCAGAATAGTCATTAATATTTCAGAAACAATATAGATGGCTTGTTCCTCATAATTCGAAAGACAAAATCTGACGGTAAAATACTGTTTCAGTCTTGATTAAAATGATTAAATCAATCTCATTGTATTTGAATGCTTGTAATGTGTAATCTGTAATTCTCACTCAGATCTACAACTTTCAATGGCAATCCATAGACAGCTATAAAACTTGGTTTTTTTTTAGTAAAACATGCATAACCTCTGATAGCATGGATCAATTTCAGTAATTATTTTATTTTATTTTTGTTGATGAGTGAAAGAACATGCTCGTTTGAGATATACTTCATTAGTGTTTTAAATTTGATTACTTTTTAAGGAAACAAATCATTAATTGGGGTCACTTTTGTTTTGACTCACCCTATATAGTCGATATTGCTTAGCATGAATTAACGACCAATCTTTAGAAATGACAAAATGATAGGCAGATACCTACTTTAGACAGTTGCAGCAACATGCACTACGTATGCATCCCCTTGTTAATGTTGCAAATGTCTGTTTGTCTTGTCTTGGCAAGTATTCACAATTCAAGAGACGTTTGAGTTATTCGACATTCTTTATATATTTGAAGAATTTATTCCCATCACACAATTATTCTCAGATGTTTTAAACTACTGTTCAAATGAACATGTAATTTGACAGATTTAAGTGTTGGGGTTGCCATGTAAATTAAAGAAAGTGTAGAATTTTCAATAAAAAGGACTGCACAACAACTGTACGTTACATAATATTAACACTATAGATATATTCTGTGCTTTTATCTTTAGAACTGACGGGGAAGATTTGGATGTTAGCAGTGGTGATATCCAACTGCTTGGTTGTCATTCTTGTCGTCATTTTGTGTTGCATCGCTTTGAAGAAAACGATTAGAAAAAGGAGGAAGAAGAAGAGGCATTCCAGCAGCAGAAGTTCAGAAGGAGATGACTCTTATCCGATGGTTTCACTGCCATTCGGAAACGAGGTGGATTAATTTATCTGTACTTAACATGATATGATAGATTGTTGAGTCTTTTTCCCGCTGCTTTAAAAACACACACACACAAACTCGAGCTCCATTTTGTTTATATATTGAAACCTGTTGAGACCTTTATTTCCAATAAGTGACAAGAATCCAAACCCATGTATTGAAGAGAGAGGTTTATCATTTTCTAAAGTGTAAGGTGTGTTTTATTTTATCATGGAATTTTAAAGCTTCTTTTTTGTCTTGTGTTGAGACGATGGTTGTACATAGATTACAATTCGTTGATGAGATTATGAAAAGAAAGTTCATGGGACATGGGGGTCTGGATCACAGAATTCGTGGTCTGGGTTAATTGTCCATGTTTTCGGTTCAAGTCCAGACTGGGGTTATGGTGCCTGTGTCCTTCGGCAAGGCACTTTGTCACTAATTGCTTCTCCCCACCCAAGAGTGCCCTATGAGAGAACACAGATGGTTATTGTGGTTGATTTCGGCTCCTTTGCGCCGAAATGGCAGCATCTAGCTGAGTACTCCCCAGGAAGATGAGATTGTCTTTGGAGTGTTTGATAGGCCCAATGAAAAAGTTAATAATGAGAAGCGGCTTAAGCACAAATACTGGTAGATAAGTGCACTTTATAAATATGAACATTATTATTAGTATTAGTACCTGCCGTCCGAGTTGAAGTCAAATTTATCGAAAGTGAAGTTATAATTAACAGGGGCTTAAGAAATAACCATTTGTATGGAAAGTTGGTGACTTGACTGGAGACTACATGACTTGTAATGATCTGTGATGGTTTGTGAGGTGCTATTGTGGATAGCTTGTGCATAGCTTGTGTTTGACCTGTGCATGATCTGCTCTCGATTTACCTATGACTGAGTAATGAGGACTTTTCTGTGGACCAAACTTTATCCGAAGTCATACATAACTTTTTTATCCCTATCCACTCTTTTTCCCCCACGTGTTTAGGAACGACAAGGAGGCACTCTAAGATCAGAAGGTACCCTCGATCGAGTCTCCAAGACCTTTATTCCAGAGTTGGAGTTTCCAAGGACTAGAGTAAAACTTCAAGAGATTATTGGGAATGGTAACTTCGGTCAGGTCTACAAGGCCATAGCTAAGGGAATAGTTCGCAATGGAGTCGACACTACGGTTGCTGTCAAGATTATCAAAGGTGAGATACATTTTTCAAGAAGATTTAGGTTAGGAGAGACTGCCTTTGTTTTTTGTTTTGTTTTTTAGAATTTAAAAAAAGTGTACAATGTAAACGTGTTTAGATTTGATACATATTTTAACCCCACAATTCTACAAACTTTATAAACATGTTTGGATCTACATACATGTTCACATTTGTAGATGTCATGAGTACGACGTGTGTACGTTGCTGTACCATCAATTGTAAATTGTAAAAGTAAACACACAAGACTCGGTTACTACACACTTTTGTTTCTTTTTTATCACAAAATGTTTTTCAAAACTTGAAAAAAAAAAATATACCCGACTTTTTTTCTGTGTCTTTTATTAAGATTCGTAATGTATTGTATATTCTAAACACTGTTTTTACAATGCGGATCATGCTGATAAACACAACATAATATGATTGATACGGATAAAGAACCAGCAACGGATGTCGGAAGGTGTTTTTTGTGACTGGTATTCTGGCTATGAAGGTCGGGCTGTCAGTATTTGTCCAGCAACACTACCGGCTTTCCAATCTAAGGTCATTGCCATGGACTGGCGGCCACGCCATCTAGCTGTTAATCAATATTATGTACTATATGCTTATTGTTTTTTTGTGACAAAGGATCCAGGTTGCAATCTGAATTATCATGCTGTTCTTTCTTTGTGACTGGTTATCATGTGATAGTTGTAAAGCACAGTTATTTTTCTGACTAGCAGGTCAACAAGTTTGGCGCAGATCAAATTGCCTTCTTGCATTTCTTTACATGTAATATTCCCATGACGCGTGCTACAGTGTAATATTCAGCAAACTACAGCCTTCATATATCAGTATTTTACACGCAAATACTTTCCACCCTGCAGTGTAGTAACTGTGGTTAACCCTCAATATACAAGGAAATGTTTCCTTACTAAGTCTCACTTTCGCTTCAAGCCTTTTTTTGCGTGAACAGAAATGAAAGACAAAACTCTTTGAACAGGAAAAGTGTATTATTATTTTTCATTCAGTTTTATGCTTTCGATACTATTTAAAATTAACAATATAGGTGTAATGATATTTATCCAGCTGCATATAATTAAAGGGAAAATACAACATTTGCGAACATCAAAAAATAAAACTACCAAATCATTTTGAAATACCTTGCTGGACTGTTAGTGAATGACAGTATAAAGCATCCTGTAAAATCATGGCACCTGGTATACTGTCATTTTCAAGAAAAGTGGTATTTTTGTATCAATTACCAACGCTGATCGGCCGATCAGCGTTGGAAAAAACTGGCTTTTTTTCAAATACTGGCCCCAGTTGACCATCGCACTTGTTTGCAATCGATTACACACCTATGAACGGGTACAAGCCAGCTATACTGGTTCCCTGACCTTACAATTCCCCAATACATGTAAACTGCTCTGTTTCTTCTTAAATGGAGTCAGGGAACCAGACTACTGGAAAATGATTGTTTTTCTTGGTTTTTATATCATTTTCGAACCCAAAATCTCAAAAAAGTCAGTGTAACTATATTTGCTATATATTTCCAACCCCCCTATTCCATCCATTTCTGAAAATTACAGCAAAAGCAAATTATGTATGTTCCCTTTCAAACAAAAATACAACCATAATACGGGATGCACGCAAGTAAGGAACCTTCCAATGTATATCGATATGTTTATAAATAAATAAGTGGCGGATCTACTGAGGACGGGGTTCCCTTCCTCCTACCATTGGCCACAAAATATAGAAAAATCATTTGAAAAAATGGCCCATGTCTGTTTTGTTTTAAGGTGAGAAAGGCTCCTCTGTCTGGTCAGATTTTAAGAATGAGCTAAGCATCTTCAAGAACCTGAAACAACATCCATACGTGGTGTCTATTCTTGGATGTTGCACAACCGCAGGTAAGATCTGATTTTGGTTTTTACATGCGATAGAAAACATCTAATTTGAGTTATGATGAATCACCACTAACTTTTTACAAACCACTGTTACCTGCATAAGATACGCCTAATACCTTCACCACTTGCCTCACTTCACCTCACCTTTCCTCACCTATTTGATGGGTCCATTAGGTGGCCAGTATTGTGGGTGTGGGTACACCTCAAAAAAGTTTGGCAAAATAGGTTAACTATTCTACCAGCAAGATGGGCGAAAAATTAGCACATTCATCTATTGGACAAAATTGCCTGTGCATATTGCACTGTTTATTTTTTGCCCAACGAATTACTTGCCCAACATTTTTACAATGTAGACCTTTTTGTATTCCCTCCTCCCCTATTTATCCTAACCAAATAGTACTCTCCTATACAGTGTCCACCATAAGGTTATTTAATGCCTGTACACATTTTACCGCATTAAAATGTCCAGAGCCTTATTACATAATCATGGAGTACATCCAAAATGGGACACTGCAAGACTACATCACGCAGAAACGTCAAGCTTGGGGCAAGGCGAAGATGAGCGGCGCTGAGAGTGCATCGAAGGAAGCGCTCAGTGCAGTGCATATACTCATGTTCGCTTTTGAGGTCGCTAACGGCATGGAGTATCTGTCCTCTATGCATGTAGGTTCACTAGTTTAGGTATTTTTTGTGTGTGTTTTTTTATCTCAGTAGAACAAACTGTGTGTACAGTTTAAAATTGCTGACATTGCTGACATTTTTTCAATCCATTTCTACTCTTTATTTTACAAATTGATCAGATGTCCTTACGCCTTTTTAAATATTTTGTTTCAGACATGGAATACATAACACTTCTTCGTGAACAGGTATTTTTGAGAGGAAATTCCCCTCAAAACCTGCTCCGTTAATCGTATTTCGAGAGAACGCTGTATAAAACAATCCTATTTTGGTTTTGCTTTTGCTTTGCTGTCAGAGAAATTAATCATCCCAATAATAAACAGAAATATATGTTTGTACGGAAGCAGTTTTTTCTCAACATAACAGGCCATCGCAAGATACGTTCCGGTTTCGCACTTCGAGGTGATCATATAAATTATTCACGAATTATTGAGCCCACACAGTGCGATCTGAATGTCCCGCGGCCGCACAAAGTTCAGACTTCATCAAACAGCCGTTGGCCAAGTATATGCTTCAATGGAAAGTGAAGTTCCTTTTTTTTCTAATTACCCACAGTTGATTCATCGTGACCTCGCAACACGGAACGTTCTATTGGGAGAGGGGTTGGTATGCAAATTGTGTGACTTCGGGATGGCTCGTGACGTCACAGGAAGCGAGCAGTACGAAATGTTGTCAGGGGTAAGAGTTCATTTAAATTTAGAATGTGGTTTGGAGCAAGTGCGCCGACATTGATTTTTTTTTTTTTTTTATGTGGAATCACAGGCCTATTTTCTGTTTTCATACTGTTTCATTCGTTTTATAATTAACTGAGTCACTGAATATAACCAATATCCAAAACTGAGACTTTCGGTTTCAGCTCAATTTGGTCGCAATATGTTTTAGGCATTTTACCCCGTGGTGTCCACAAACCTTTGACAAACGTATTAACAAGTTTATGTGGGTGGGATTCGATTTAAGGTCCTCCTGGCTGTAGAGTAAAGATAGTGGTTTGATAGACCTTTATAATGCCTTCCGGTTCTTTTCAGAACCCCACATGCTCACAAAAGAGATTTATTTACACGGTGCTACCCCAAACTTATCTTGTCTTAGTATCTTTCAACCATGCAAACCTTCAAATCTCATCAGACCATTATCATGTTGCGGCCTTCATGAGTTGTTCCCCAGTCAAAACTTTGCAACCAAAGCGAGGCTGGAAGGAAAAATAGTCTGGTTCTTTTTTTGCAAAACAAAATAATTAGTTCAGTACTTGTTCTTGGATACAGGGAATATGACTGAAATGGATGCAGCATGATGAAGGTCTATAGAGGATGACGAAACCAACTATTATATATTTGGTGTTCTGAAAGTCGATAGGGATATACAGACTTAATTATTTCTCTTTTCTGTGTTTTAAAGAAATCTAAGTTCCACGAATGTATTTCTGATATGTGTTTTTTTTTCCGTCGAGTATTGTACATGTAATCATTGATTGAAAGTATTAAATGAAGTCCAGTTTAAATGTATCAAGTAGATAACCGACAACTAAAAAAGAAACAGTCTCATCACAAGTATTATATGAGTGCGTTCTATGCACGTTATCTATGGAATGAATAGATAATCAATGTTATCTTCTTTTAAAAAAAAATTGTAGTCATTTGATGAGCTTCTTTATTTCTTTAAATCAAATTCATTCTTATTATTCCTGAGATGTAATTTACCCAATTTGTGTCGATATTTCAGAGTGCTGTACCCGTTCGTTGGTTGGCTTTGGAATGTCTCCTGTCAAACACGTATACAACAAAGAGCGACGTGTGGTCGTTCGGAATACTTCTCTGGGAGCTAGTCACACTTGGTAAGTACAGACATCGTTTCTTCTTGCTGCTTGTCATTGTGGTAGTGGATGTTGTCGTTGCTGTCGTGGTTGTGGATGTCACTGTCTTCATCGTTGTTCTTGTTTTCGTGTCGTTCTTGACGTTCTTGTTGTCCTCGTTGTGCTTGCTGTTTTTGCTACTCACGCCCCTTTTTTTCCTGCTCTTATTGCTGTTCCTGCAGTTCTTGTGTTGTACTATATTATTGTCCTTGTCGTTGCTGGTGGTGGTGGGGTTGGTGGATGTGGTACGGGTGGATGAGGTGGTGGGGTGACGGTGGTGTTGGTGGCAGCGGCGGCGGCAGCCACGGCGACGGTGTTGGTGCTGCTGCTGCTGCTGCTGTTGTTACCGCTGTACACGCGCGGATCCAGATGGGGGCACACCCGGCCGGTGCCCCCCCCCCCCCCCTTCGCAACTTTTTTTTTATTTATTTTATTTTTAGGGCGGGCGGGCATTAAATACATCCCTTTGAGAACATGGCTATCTTTTTCGTTTTTGAGGAGTCATTATGGCAGGCGGACGGGCGGTCATCAAATCAATCGCTTTTGAACATAACTATCATACATAATTATCAACAAAAAGATACAATGTATACGTTTTGAAGGTCGCCTGTTAATCATTGTCTAAAAAATTCTTTCAAAAGCAAGAATATATCCGCACTGGACTTTTTGTTTTGGAAGGTTTTACCGAGACGATGGTAAAATGAGAAATGGTCAAATGTGACCACTGTCCGCACTTGGACTTTCGACACGGGAAAATTTACCCAGACCGCGTGAGAGAAGTATTAAACCGAGCTGTCACAGTGTCAGTATAATGACTCACCGTACACAGAAAACAAATTGCCAATCACATTTTCAGCCGCCGATACGCACAGTTATGTTACACACGCCATTTGCATGCACAACATCTTGACAAGCTAAATCTTGACGAAAAAGCCTATATTATAATTCTGACGCATTTGTGATGCACGTCGTCGAAGCCATGCCGCTGTACAATGTTCCGTGCGGCAGCAGTGCCATCAGTATTCGTTGGTTCCCATCGCATGCTTACAGAATCGAAGCTATGGTGTGGGCCAGGAACCAGTGACTACGGCCTACGTACGGTACCGGACCATGATGTGAAGCCCCTGTCACACTTTCACGTATCCTAATTCCTTATGAGTTCCTTATCAAAAATTTTCAATACGCAGCCGTACGATCAAAAACGTCTAATTTTTTTGATTACTTTGACTTATGTGCGACGCACATCTAGCGAACAAGTAACGAATTCAGCGCATCCACTGCGTATGAGATGCATATGAGTTACGTAGGCAGTGCGCAAGTTCGCTATTTGTGCGTTTCTCATAAGTTACGAATAAGTACAATGCGCTGCCCGCTCGCAGGACGAGCGGTACTAATTCGTGCAATACGTCGGCATTCGATATGAGTTCGTTCAGCGGGCATAGAGGTCAGCGTGCCGCGTATGAACGGCTTTTTCCCCTTGAACACATAGCGTACTCGTACCGCGCTCGACCGATGCGGGACCGATACGCTGCGTATTTATAACATATGACCTGCGTAACAGCGTACGCAGCGTAGTTTTGTGCATGCCCAAAACTATCCAGCGTACTGGGCCGTACTATGCGTATGCCTGCGTTCTATGCGTATCCCATTATACTGGGACACAGGCGGCAGTCTTTTTGAAGTCTTGACCAAACGTTTAAACGCTAAGGGGGAAAAAATGCTAATAGCATCAATTTTTTTATGACAGGAGAGGGGCAAAACGAAAAGGATATTATTAATGATGATGGAAGCAAAAAAAAAAAAAAAAAAAAAAATGTAAACGACAATAACATCAACCAAAATGTGGTGGGGTGGTGGTAGTGGCTGCTTGGGGTAGGCTGTCCCCTAATGAAATTCAATTTATTTTATTTTCTTTGTTTGCAAGGCAAATTTCTGGGTAGAAATGTACGTTTTAATAGTAAACATGACTTTTTTTGGCTCGCTCGTTCCGCTCGCTCGCAAAATAACAAATGTTCATTTTTTTTCACCCGGGGGCTGTCATCAGCACCTTTTAATTTTGGGGCTCATTTCAACTAACATCAACAGTGACTTTTAATTCTATATTTGATAGAAAAAAAATGTGTGTTATTAAAATTAAAAAAAAAAACATTGTGAATTTTGCTCTTGATTGCTTAAAATACTCATTATGTAGGAGAGCACATCTAAAATCGTAGAGCTTCCAGTGCCCTCAACCCCGCCCGCAAGGGATTTCGCGCTTCAGTCTCGTTATGTGTGCAACGCGCACAAAGTTTTTTGTGCCCCCCCCTTTTGAAAATCCTGGATCCGCCCCTGCCGCTGTAATTGTTGTTTTTGTTATTGTTGGCTGTGTCATTGTCATAGTCGTCCTCGTTGTTATTTTGGTCGTTCGTGTCGTGAAATCCAAACTATCATATATATACATCTTTTCCAGTTATCAGACCATAATTCTGATGTGACAGGAACATATATTAATGGGCAATTCGAATTTATGTTTATAATTTCCTGACAAAATGTCAACACCCAATTTACTATTGTTGATATTACCAGGTGCTCTTCCCTACGCTGAAATGACACCGGATGCAATCATTGATGCTGTAAGACAGGGGTTCCGACTTCCAAGACCTGCGCACTGTGGACTGGCCCTGTAAGATATTCTTGTATCCCATGTTATGTCAAAGTCGTATATGTCACAGCAAATGAAACGTTCCATGCTTGTGATGGTCAGTAGTGTCGTGTGAAATATGGACTCCGACGGAATCAAATCCCAAACCCCTACACGTATCAGTGAGTATGGATTGTTCCATGCACTGAACCATGCGGACTACGGTTACAAGGTAAATGTCTCAAGTGGTTGAAATTGTATAGTAAACCCGTCTGAAATATTGCATATTACTTTCTGTAATACTTGTAAGAGAAGGGTTAACCACAGACCCGATGGATTCAGATTGCACCAAGATTCAATTGATCGTGACCCGTTCCAAAGACTCAGATTCAACAACAAGGTCTATTATTTTGAACGGACAACAACATAATGTTCAGTATATTCGTTGTTTCAGGTACAAATTGATGACTGCTTGCTGGAAAGCTTCGGCCAAAGCGAGACCGAGCTTCACAGAACTCCAAACCAAGCTGGACCACTTCCTGAAATTTGATTCGGTGAGATAAACACCATTGCATTAAAATTGTTAACATCCCACATTGCCTACATTGTCAACACAACACAAGGCACAAGAGCACACTGATTTATATTCATTTGATTCGGTATGGCTTCACTGGAAAATATATATTTTCGTACATTTGAGTACGCCATGAGCTAATTCATTGTCGGTTCTATCTAGTAATGTATACGATATATACGGCACGGCTCATAAGTGACAGTCCAGTCGTCAACAGTAAGTTGGAGAGGTACGTAAAGAATGATAGACGTGCCGTATTAGAAAAAGGGCAAAAAGTGAAGCCCCACCATTTCCCCTGAATTGGTCACGTTCTGCAATTATGATCAGAAAATTCTTTGAATGAAATCACCAATATTCGGTAATCAAGCTAGATTCGACTTGTTCTCTTTTATTTTACAGTGTCAGCTATAGCTGTTTCGTTTGGGCAAGCTTTACACAAAAAAAGTAAAAGATTGTTTTTGTTTCCTTAATTGTTAAATTTTCCAGGAAGCATTGGACATGCCGAACTTCGTGGCTAATTATTATTACGCCTACTCTGAAACATCTAAGAAGGTTTGCACGCAGGTAGCGGAGTCTCAGTGAGGGAAGAACAGCCGCAATCGGAAAATCGTGGAATTTGTCGAGAAAATGACAATTTTGTATTTTGCACAGATGTTTTTTGTAGCATGACATGTAGTACACCAGAACGGTAATGGGATTGTGCCTTTGATGATACAACCATAGAATTTGGCAAACAGTCACAGTATGTCATGAGAAGGATATTTGGGCCATGGTAGATTTGTCCCCCAAAACATATTTTTGTGGATAAAACAAGCAACGGCAGCCTTTTTGAAATTGTTGAAAGTTGCTTGTTATTTTATTTTTAATTTTTGGAAGGAAAAATCTACGATGGCCCCATATTCCCCTATCTGCCCAATTAGTGGTGCGGCATAGGGACATAATTGTGCATTTCGGGATAAAAGCATGAAACTTCACAAGTTGGTTCTTCATGCCATTTCGATTTTTTTCAGATATGGAGGCATTTCATACCTGACCCCTGGTGACCTTTAGGGGTCACTGACTTTTGAATACTGTATTTATACCTATTGGTCTTGAAAATATCACTTTCCTACTACGTAAGTATTTGTATTGTCTTCGTACAATGTAAATAACGACCAAATGCAGAAAAAAAAATCTAAATTGACCTTTGATGACCTTCCAGAGGTCAATAAACTTTGTATTAACTGCACTAACTCTATTCATAGTTTCCTTTTATAAGATGTACCCTTTAAACCCACATTTTTTTTCAAACCCGGAGTCATAATGTCAAGTGGCTCATGCTATGAAAAGAACGTCATATGTAGTGAATCTCATATCTGACCTCTGATGGCCTTCAAGAGGTCAATTAACTTTGCGTATCATATTTATAGATATTAAGAGGATTAACTATTTAAAGCACCACTTTTGTATTACCCATATCTAAATTTTGGGTATTCTTGCCATGATATGAATTTTCAGATATGTAGACATTTCATAGTTGACCTCTGATGACCTTTGCGAGGTCATTAAACTTTGTGTGCTCTGATTGCCGTTATTTATCATGATAAATCTTCCAAATATCATTTCTCATGACTTAAGTCTAATTAGAGCAAACAGAGTGTATTTTAATAATTATTCAACAACGTGTCATGAAGTCAGATCCCAAAGATTTCTTTTTTTTGCATGACTTCCAATCTCAATTTCCCTATTTATTAGGGCAGAGGAAAACGTTAAAGAATATAAGCGACACATCGGATAAACAACACTTTCTTACAGTGACCAATGATCTTGGTAAAAAGGTTAAAAACGTGGCTAAGGTTAAAAACGTCCTAGTCCAAGTGGATACAGCAGGGTGTGATAAGTTCACAAAAGTTATTATTGGTTGACATATGTACATTTTCCATTACAAAACAGACCCACAGATTTCTACTCTAATCTCCATCACATTGCGTCTGCCAATAAAACAAGGAGAAAACAGGTCTGAGGTCACCTCAAAATTGTTTGTGGGGTCTGAATTTACAACATGGCTGTAAACTAATAGATGCAATTCCGTTCTTTGCACTATTGGCTCTTGGATCACAAAAAAAGGCGTTTTGGCGAATAAATATGACAAATAACGGCAACTAAGATATACAAAGTTCATTGACCTCTCCAAGGGTATCTATACGTCAAATATGATGTCCCCAAATCTGAAAAAAAAATTCATGTTACCAAGAGTCAAGCTTTATTCTTGGGTCATGAAAAGAGTGGCATTTACAATTACGAAAATTGTATTGATATCTATATGTAGGCTATTGTTTTACAAAGGTCATGACCTCTCGTAAGGTGACCAGAGGTTGAATATGAAAAGACCTATATAAAAAACATTCTTTACAGCATGAACACCTTTCATTTAGACATAAATCGTGGAAAAAGGTACAGTTTAAAGAATAAATCTTACAAATAACTATAAACAGGTTTACAAAGGTCATTGACCTTTACATAGGTCACCATAGGTCAGATATGATTTTTTTTCCCGCTTCTGATCGTTATTTTCATTGTATGAAGACCTATGACATAGACTTGGGTCATTGTAAAGTGAACTTTTGAAGAGCAAAAGTTATGAATAGTGTATGCAAAGTTCATTGTCCTCTAAAGGTCACCAGAGGTCAAATATTAAATACCTCCATATCTGAAAAATGGTATGAAGAACCAACATGCGCAGTTTCATGCTTTCATCACAATTTGCAAAATACTTTAATATATTGTGGCTATGCCGCACCACTAAACAATGTGCTTCTTGTTGATCATCATCAGTACATCACAGCGCAAGTAACAATTGTTAAAAGATTTTGAATTATCGGATACTGGTGAAGTTAAATTGACTTTTGTATAGGCCTATATTTATGCAATGTTGAAATAATTACAATCCCGACTGATCTAGGGGTTTTAGGATCGGGGTAAAACGTTCAACAAAAATATTACAATACATACGTACTCTGTTATTTGCTTTATTAAGAATTTGCTGTTTGTAAATCTAGTCGTCTTGTGTATATTGATAATAATGTTGAGTACAGCGTGGCTATGCAGCCATGAAGCCACGGTTACCACCATGGAGGGGGGGGGGAGGGGTGACTGTGTCTGCATTTTACAGTGGGGGGCCCGACGTTTCTCTTAAACCAGTTAACCATAGTCATTTATAGGGGACGGGGCAACATTATATTACAGGGGTGGGAGGCGTGCGCCCCCGAACTCTCCCCCGCATATGCCGCTGTTTGCAATATGTATTTATCATGTCGTCTGTAACACTTTAACACTTTATATTTTCCTTTTGGCAACAAACTATACAAATATCGCGGGCATCATTGGCCTTGCTTGTACACTATGGCCATTCAGTGCTGTTTAACAAACTAGAAATGCAGTCAAACCGCTTTTCATCGATCTAAGAAAAGGCAAGTACATCTAGGCCTATCATGGTTCATTTAACTGGTAGAACTATCCGCTTTGTTAGATGTGTTAGATGGCACAAGGAAGAACAAAAAATGAGGTCAGTTTTATCGGAAATTAGGTCACCATTCGTGAAGCAGGGCGCCACCTTTCTATGCCCTTTGGAAATATATCATATTTGTAAAACAGATACTGTTTTTTTTTCCCCTTAAAAAACACATGACGTTATTACGAAAATGTTTTGTTTTGATACGGATCAAAGCAAACACTAAATAACATGGTACAATGTATACAAAACTACGTACGGTGCCTGTGGTATTTCATTATGCTTTTGAAACCATAGTTTACTGCTTCTAAATCCCGGATCTCAGTCTCAATTTCCATATTGTATTTACGCAATAAAAACAAACGCATATTATAATGTAACTGAATTGTACTGTTTCTTCAAAAGATATGCATCGACCTTAAACCATTTTTAGAGACTATTTGTTTGTATGTTTATGTAGATGTTAATGTAAATGTTAAAGAGGTGTGGCCAAATATAATCCAAGATGTACTTACATTTCAGCTTTCGTGTTAATAACCCATATTCATGTACTTTGTATTGATTAACACTTCATTATTTTTATTTTTTCATATTTTTTTTTCTGAAATAGGCTCGACATATAAATTGTGTGTACATATTTATCAGTGTTTACTAACCAAAACCCACACATTTTACATAACAACGCAATTATCCATGTAAAACTTATAGTTTTTTTTTTTTTTTCACTGCGAGTTCTCCGACATCCGTCAACCGTCTGAAGGCACATTCCTGTTTTATCAAGGGAAATGCTTGCTGTGCCTTTTTGATCGATGTAGACAATGTGCTACCTTTTGAATTATAATTGTTTGTTGTGTGGTGAAATTATTTTGAGGGGGCTTATGGTTGCGACATAAATAATGATCAAAAGAGGGCGCTAAATATGATTACCAGTCGGTCCCGATGCCGATCTCAAAATATACCAGTATCTGGGCAGACGGCCGAG